TTCACCCAGCTTCATGAGCCCCCCTGCTGACCTGGGCCCCATACAGGAGGACTGGTGGCACCCTCTTATCCACAGTCCTGACAATAACAGTTGGGTAAATTTTTTTTTTCCTTTTTCTTTTCCATGGGGTACATCATTAGGCAGTATTGTGAGTTCATACAAAATCAGCAGGTTGAGTCCCGGTTAACAGTTGTACCATATGATTTGCAACACAAAGTTGCATGACAAGCCAAAACACATTCATTTCATCGGGCGCACTACTTTTCTGAGACTTTGGTGCCATTTGAGTGCCATAGATTGCAATGTTAAATTACAAAAGTCGAACGCAACTTGCAAGAAAGATGAATGACTTCGGGATCGCAGCGGGATGAACTGAGCCTAAATCACGCACTGAAATCCAATACCGTCTAGGGGCACGACAGTAAAATCTTTTCACCTGAACACTCAGCCTCTCCCACCTGTCAAAGCCATTAGACTCTCAACCCAACAACTACCCATAACTGAAACACCAGGTTGGGTGGACTGAACCTCTAAAGCATTTATCAGCTTAAGCAACTGAGAAATATCATGCAATGTAAAATAGTACTTGATAAATGTATTCTAATTTTAAACTCCTAAAGTGATCCAAGATATAAATTTAGCTTACCGGATATTCCTTTTTCCTTCGGTCTTGTGAGGCAGCACACCATGCAGGATCCAAGGGCAGAACAGGAAATGGCCTCTTCTCCCAGTTCCCTTCTGCTTACTCTCTAATATTTATTTCAGGTACTTATATAGCTCTGTCAATTTACACAGAGCTTTACATATATATTGTACATTCACATCAGTCCCTAACCCTCAAGGGGCGTACAATCTAAGGTCCCAAACTCACATCCATACATACACACAGTAGGGCCAATTTAGACAGGAACCAATTCACCTACCAGCATGTCTTTGGAGTGTGTGAGGAAACCGGAGTACCCGGAGGAAACCCACGCAGGGAGAACATGCAAAACTCCAGGCAGGTGGAATAGAGCATATCTTTATTTATCCACAATATAGGCTTGACTTTTATGAAGCTTGTCCTCCAGAGGCCAGAGTTAAAATTTCATCGAAAAATAAGGTGGATTCTTCTTTGCTTGTATGTCTACGGGTGGAAGCTGGACTCCTTACCAGCTGACCAACAAATTCTTGGCTAAGTTAATGGATGGATTGCTAGCTCTTAGAGAAATTACATTTTGGAACTGAGTAGTTCTCCTGTAGAAGGATACGTAGGATATTTAGAGGGATGCAATAGATTAATGTTAAGTCTACAGGCTTGGAACAATCCATATGTAAATGGATAGAAAACTGGCTAAAAGATCGTATTCTGAGAGTAGTGGTTAATGATTCATACTCTGAATGGTCTAGGGTTGTTAGTGGTGTACCCCAAGGTTCAGTGTTGGGACCCTTACTTTTTAATATATTTATATTAAAAAATCCCATTTCAGTCTTTGCAGATGACACCAAGCTGTGCAGTGGAATAACGTCCTTACAGGATGTCTCCAACTTACAAGCCGACCTCAATGCTCTGTGTAATTGGGCAATTATGTGGCAAATGCGGTTTAATGTTGATAAATGTAAGGTTCTGCACTTGGAGGCTAAGAATATGCATGCATCATACATACTGTACTAGGGGGGGTACAACTAGGGGGGGGGGGGTCAATGGTGGAGAAGGATCTGGGAGTTCTGGTAGATCACGAGTTTAATAATGGCATGCAATGCCAAGCTGCGGGTTCTAAAGCGAGCAAAATCCTCTCTTGTATTAAAAGAGGTATAGACTCCAGAGAGAGAGAGATATCATTTCCCCGGTACAAATCATTAGTAAGACCTCATCTGGAATATGCAGTTCAGTTTTGGGCACCAATTCACAAAAAGAACATTGGGGAACTGGGGAAAGTACAGAGAAGGGCAACCAAACTGATAAGAGGCATGGAGGAGATCAGCTATGAGGAAAGATTAGAGGAACTGAATGTATTCTCTCTTGAGAAGAGGAGATTAAGGGGGGATATGATCTCCATGTATAATACATAAGGGGGGAAATGATCTCCATGTATAATACATAAGGGGGGATATGATCTCCATGTATAATACATAAGGGGGTATATGATCTCCATGTATAATACATAAGGGGGATATGATCTCCATGTATAATACATAAGGGGGGATATGATCTCCATGTATAATACATAAGGGGGGATATGATCTCCACGTATAATACATAAGGGGGGATATGATCACCATGTATAATACATAAGGGGGGATATGATCTCAATGTATAATACATAAGGGGGGGATATGATCTCCATGTATAATACATAAGGGGGGATATGATCTCCATGTATAAATACATCAGTGGTTCATATAGTGAACTCAGTGTAGAGCTATTCACCCTGAGGTCATCACAGAGGACAAGGGGGCATTCTTTACATCTGGAAGAAAAGAGATTTAATCTCCAAATATGGAAAGGTTTCTTCACAGTAAGAGCTGTGAAGATGTGGAATAGACTCCCAAGAGTTGGTTCTGGCCAGCTCAGTAGATTGCTTTAAAAAAGTCCTGGATTCTTTCTTGGATACACAGAATATAACTGGATATAACATTTATAGGTAAAGTTGATCCAGGGAATATCCGATTGCCTCTCGGGGGATCAGGAAGGAATTTTTTCCCCATGCAGGAGCAAATTGGATCATGCTTTGCTGGGTTTTTTTTTTTGCCTTCTTGTGGATCAATGGTGGGTATAGGATTATAACTTTTTTTTTTTTTTTAACTGGATGGACTTTTGTGTTTTTTCAGCCAGACTAACTATGTAACTGTTGGAGTTAATAGAGTTGTATTAGCTAGTGTTAGGGTTAGATATTTAGTGTTCAAGCGTAAAGACCTTTTTTTAAATTAGTTTTGGATAGAGTAGAGAGGGACTAAAACACTTGTCAGTTTTTATTTCTGCCTGTGACTCCATTAGGGAGATTCCACCTCTCTATTTGTCCTGTTTACCATTATCAGTGAAAATGAAAGTAAAAGAAAATCCCAAATTTTGAGTTGGTCTCAAAACAGGAATAGAGGTGAAATCTTCTGAAGTGAATACTAGTTCTGGTGACAACCAGGGATTCCCTCACTTTGGAGGGATTTCTTCTCACTTCCTGTTTTGAATACGGGAGAAGAAGTAAAGGGAAATCACCTCAATGGGACACAGATGACAAAACTCGGTTATAACCCTTCCTTACTCTATCTAATATGATAGATGCCATTAACCACTTCCCGACCACCTCATGTAGAAGTATGGCAGCAGAGCAGCTCTCCTGTGCCAGATCACGTATCTAATATATGATCTGCCTCTTCTGGGTAGGGAGCGCGCACGCTGCTGCGACTGTGCTGTGATTAGTTACAGCACAAGCTGATCAGTAGGTCCTGGGCAATGGTTGCCGGCCGGGCCTCGCTGATCGGCAAAGAGGAAGACGGAACAGAGCTCTGTGAATGTAAACAGCAGGGAGTTTTGTCCTGTCAGTGAGGATGTGCCTGTTTTTGTTTCCCTGCAAAGCAGGAAATAAAAACCAGCACATCTCTTAATAAAAACAGCACACAGTGAATGCACCAAGCACTGTTAGGCCACAGTTAACTCTTTGATTGAACCCTAGATGTTAACCTCTCCTCTTCCCAGCCAGTATCATCAGTGCAGTGTCAGTGTAAATTATTAGCACTGATCACTGTATTAGTATCACTGTTAGTGTCAGATTACCCGCCGCACTATCACAGTCCTGCTATAAGTCGCTGATCGCAGCCATTACTATTAAAAAATAAATAAATACATAAAAATGCCAGTATATATACTATAGATTGTAGATGCTATAACTTTCGCGCAGGTCTATCAATATACTGTTTTTGGCTTTTTTTTAACTAAAAATATGTAGCATAATACATTTTGGCCTAAATTTATGAAGAAATTAGATTTTTTTAAAAAATTTTTTATTAGATATGTTTTATAGCAGAAAGTAAAAATATTGTTTTTTTCCCCAACATTTTCGGTCTTTTTTTTTGTTTAAATAATAAAAAAATAAAAACCCAGCAGTCATCAAATACCACAAAAAGAAAACTCTATTTGTGAAAAAATTATATAAATTTTGTTTTGGGTGTTGCATGACCGCGTAATTTTCAGTTAAAGTAGCACTGCACCATATAGCGAAAAATGGCCTGGTCGTGAAGTTGGTAAAATGTTCCAGAGGGCAACTGGTTAAAGTGGAGTTTCAGAAATTAAACAAAATCCAATGGCCATTTGCTTTAGGGGACAGGGATGCAGGGTGTTACTTACCCTACCCTGCTGGCAAGCATGCAACCATGGCCGAGAGCACCTTAGAGAAGAAGCAATGCTGGACCATTAACATGAACTGAGGGAACCTGACGGATCCAGGAATAAGGTAAGTATTACATCTTACGCCACCACAAATGTAGATTTGTCTAGTTCCTGGAGTTCGACCTTAAAGTGTTACTAAACCAACAACAGTGAAATCAGTCTGTATATGCAGTAAAGCATGCTTGTTATACTCACTGTGGAACCTAACTGGTTAATCCTCCGCATTGAGTTTGATCCTGTCTTCTCTGATCCTCCCCTTTTTCTACTGTCCCCAATCCATCTGCTGATAGAACAAAGTCTTGGGGGAAAGCCGCACATGCTCAGTTTGGTGTGTATTGCTAGAGAGCTTTTTGGGGGGTTTTGGAGGGTGCATGTGATCAGCACAGAACCAAACGGCATGGTTCAGATAGAGGGTCAGGGGTTCTGCATTCTCCTAGAGCAAAAGAAAAACTCCTCCTACAAACTTTTCCCAGTGCTCAGCTGGACACTGACAGACATCACAAGACTGCTATATACTGCTGATGAGAAAAGATATTTAGCAGTTTATATTTACTAAAATAATTGCATTTCCATGTGTGTACTGTGGGAGACCAGATATAGTGAATGCAGGGTCTGGGGAGAGCGGATATAGTGAATGCAGGGTCTGGGGAGAGCGGATATAGTGAATGCAGGGTCTGGGGAGAGCGGATATAGTGAATGCAGGGTCCGGGGAGATCAGATATAGTGACTGCAGGGTCCGGGGGAGACCAGATATAGTGAATGCGGGGTTCGGGGGAGGACCAGATATAGTGAATGCAGGGTCGGGGAGACCAGATATAGTAAATGCGGGGGTTCGGGAGACCAGATATAGTGAATGCAGGGTCCGAGGAGACCAGATATAGTGAATGCGGGGTGGGGAGACCAGATATAGTCAATGCGGGGTGACCGGATATAGTGAATGCAGGGTCCGGGGAGACCGGATATAGTGAATGCGGGGTCCGGGGAGACCGGATATAGTGAATGCGGGGTCCGGGGAGACCGGATATAGTGAATGCAGGGTCCGTGGAGACCGGATATAGTGAATGCAGGGTTCGGGGAGACAAGATATAGTGAATGCAGGGTCCGGGCAGACCAGATATAGTGAATGCAGGGTCCGAGAAGACCAGATATAGTCAATGCAGGGTCCGGGGAGACCGGATATAATCAATGCAGGGTCCGGGGAGACCGGATATAATCAATGCAGGGTCCGGGGAGACCAGATATAGTCAATGCAGGGTCTGCGGGAGACCAGATATAGTCAATGCAGGGTCCGGGGTTTAGTAACACTTTAAGTCTTGAGGTTAGGATTAGGATTTAAGGGGTTGAGATTTAGGTTACGTTTTAAGAGGTAGAGTTAAAGCTGCATTTCAGAAAAAATCGATAAATATATTATTATTATTATTATACAGAATTTTTTAGCGCCAACAGTTTGCTCAGCGCTATACAATATAACGGGAGACAATACAGGAACAATACAGTTCAATACAAGAGGGAAAGGAGGACCTGATCCTTGCAGCTTACAATCTAAGAGTTGAAATAAAGACACATGATCTGTTTTACCAGGTAAAAGGATTTTTAATTGTTTTCAGTATTTAGTTAGCACCCATGCCAGACAGTGCAGATAGATTGATGATCTCAGATCTCTTAAAGTGGTTCTTCAGTCATCTTTAAAAAAATTAAAGTCAGCAGCTAACTAGGCAGCACAGTGGCTAAGGGGTTAGCACTTCTGCCTGGTAGAACTAGGGTCATTGGTCTGAATCCCAACCGCAGCACTACCTGCACAGAGTTTGCATGTTCTCTCTGTGCCTGTGTGATCCCTGGCATTGGCATATTAACAGTGGGCATTCAACTGTAAATACTTGTGGCGTTGCAGCTGGCTGCTCACTGGGGAGCCGGGCTGTGCTATCTGAATGGTCCTGCAGTTTTCTGGGTCCTGTGAAATGTCTCCAAAGGTTGTGGGAGAAGGAGGAGGGGCCAAACTGCCACTTGGATCACTGTGGGAGTAGGTACCTGTCAAAACCAGGTACCCCCCTAAAAATGATGCGCCAAATGTGAACGGGGGGGTAGAGCACAACTTCTCCTTTTGGGTGATGTTCCTCTTTAAATGTAACTAAGTAATACAGCTTAGTCACCAATCTTCACTTGATGGGTAGGTGCAGCTTGGTGCAGTGGCAGTAAGCACACAGAGGACTGGGGTCCAGTAACCGATGTATTGAAGAACTTGCAAATAGTACAACAACCTGGCCGAAGAGCTCACCCAACCAGGGACCTCACCCAACCAGGGACCTACAGTCAATGCAGCAGAGAGTCAGCGGTAGTAGGCCTAAACCAAACACAGCGCTTGCCAACGGACTAAGATCCCAACTGTCCCTGATTTTAAGGGACTGTTCCTCCTCTCGGAACAAAGTCCCTCTATCCCTCCTTCCTCCTCATTTGTCCTTCATTTTGGTCTGATCTATATACTTGTATATAAAATGCACCATTTATCTATCAAAAAGTGTTTCACGGTGCTAAACCTTTCATCCAATTCCTAAATTGCTGCATTTGTAAACTTTAAAAGTCAATATAAAGGAAGAGAAGTGGTAAAAAAGTCACTTGTGGGCTTAACCAATCATTTTTTTGTATAATTCTTCTTTAAGGTGGGCATGGCAGGGGTGTGTGTCCTATCAGGGGCGGACTGACCATTTGGAAACTCGGGCACTGCCCGAGGGCCTGAGTCAGTAGGGGGCCCCATGAGATGCCACTGGTACCTTTTTCATAGGCTTTTTTGAGTTTGGGCAAGGACAAAGGGGCCCCATGATCCCCTATTGCCCGGGGGCCCCATGAGTTGTCAGTCCGCCCGTGTCCTATGCTTCCATACTTTTACTAATAGATGTACCTTGTTCCCATTTAAGAAAGTTGGGAGGTATGCCAAGGGGAGTGGAATGCGGCCTGGCCGGTCGAACCCAAAAGGGAGCTTGCTGAAGTGCAGATGAAGGCCCTGAGCTATCCCTACTGCTCCGGACTCCTACTCCGCCTGTCCCTACCGCTAGTGCTGTCCCTAACAGATGGGTATGCTCTCTTCACACAAGTCACTACACAAATGCACACCCAAACCTGGGGGCAGGGATGTCAACAGACTCTGTGTGACCCAAGATGGCCGCAAGGATCACATGGATGCAGTATAGCCAACTGGAACGCTGCTCCAGGAAACCAAAGAGAAACCAAGTTGCCCTAGACTTCCCCTCCAGTACTGCTCCAGAGGAGTGCCACCTAGACTGGAGAAAATAGACTGCACCTGCCTACATGCTCATAATTGAACCACGAGAAATCAGATGCACACTATAGAGGACATCACTCTGCTCTCTCCTCCTGTAAGTAGGTCCCCTGTGTATAAGGCTTTGTAAGCCATATCGGGTTAGTTTTCTGTCATATACTGGACCACTTGATTATAAATATACTCTGTGGATTATGTATGGACAATGGACCCCAGTGTTGACTTTTTCAGGTTCACGCTGTATTCTCTATGTAAATCACCTCTACGCATTTTTTTTTAGTGATTAAAGTAGGTGAAACATTACAAAGGTTTATATAATCAACTGCACAGCCTTACCATTATCTGTTATTTAATTTGTATCTTTTGTTTTTACTGGTTTCTTATTTGAAAACCATCATAATTTGCCTCCAGCTTACACAGTGGTATGTTCAAGCAATAAAAATGACATAATTACTGCATTGTAATATATTTTTTTTTAAATAAACCATAACACAGATGCACGTTAAATTCCACAACAAGGATTCATTTGGATTGCAGCCTTTTTTCGGTAGCCTTAGGCTGGTTCTTACCATAACACGTGCAGTGACGTGTTTCATGGAAATGTACCAAGCCATACAATTTGACATGAGTTGTAATGCAGTTTTGAATGATCCCATCCAATTGACTGTAATGGGACCATGCAGGGTAACGCATGAAAAAGTCAACATTCAAGAACTTTCACTCAAGATACAATACGGCCAAGTAGAGGGAAGGAATTACACAGAAAAATATTCAGTTTTGTCTGTGTCTTTTTTTGTTGCAAAATACAGCAACATACCTGGTGTGGCTAAACTGTTAGACCCATTTCTGGTAATTATTGTTCACAATCTTTTTGAATAGAAACATGATGCACCTAACACTATACAAATTTACACTGCTCAAAAAAATGAAAGGAACGCTTTTTAACTACTTCCAGTTGGGACACTTTTACCCCCTTCCTGTCCAGGCCAATTTTCAGCGCTGTCACACTTTGAATGACAATTGCGTGGTCATGAAACACTGTACCCATATGAATTTTTTAGCATTTTTTGAGACAGATAAAACTTTATTTTGGTGGTATTTATTCACCACTGGGATTTTTATTTTTTTTTGCTATATAAATGAAAAAGTTCAAAATTTTGAAAAAAAAGTGTTTTTCTTATAAGATTTTGCAAAAAAATAATCTTTCTTCATAAATCTTGGCCAAAATTTATTCTGTTATCTTTTCAGTAAAAAAAAAAAAACACCCAAATTAGTTTATAACCAAAAATTATAATTTTTCTAATTTTAATTTTTTTTTTTTATAGTATTTTTTTTTTTTTTTAACATACTGTCACCCTAGCAGTACAATGTCACTATAGTGACACTGTACTACTTGTGGGGGGTGATGAAGATTTTTTTTTTCTTACACTAATTGCTTTTACACCCATAAAGGCTGTAAAAGCAATAATTTCTCCTTCTCTCTGGCTGCACTCTTGCAGCCATTGAAAAATACTGTGAGAGCTGTATTGGTCACAGCTTGTCACATGGTACAAGGCTGTTGCGAGTACTATGTTACCTCTGTGATCATTCACAGATTTCACAAGAAGTAAGCAATGATGTCAGAAGTGACATCTTGATTACTACTATTCATGTGATCACTGATTGGCTAATCACACAGAGGTCCCGTACAGTGATCGGTGTACACCAGGGGCAGACTGACCATTTGGAAACTCGGGCACTGCCCGAGGGGCCGGGGTCAGTAGGGGGCTCCATGAGATGCCCCTGGTACCTTTTTCATAGGCTTTTTTGAGTTTGGGCAAGGACACAGGGGCCCCATGATCCCCTATTGCCCGGGGGCCCCATGAGTTGTCAGTCCGCCCCTGGTGTACACAGATGGGCACTGGGTCGCAGTGCCGCATGCTCCCAGGGAGCGCGCACAGTCAGAAATAGCGGGTTCCGTTTATGAATAGCAACCTGCTCCTGCACTGCTCCCGTACGGCCGTTTATGTACATGGGCCGGACGGGAAGTGGTTAACCGTTTTCTCACCGCCCTATAGAACTACTGCAGCAGGGCTGCGCAAAATCACGTATATATATGCAATTTGCATTTCTGGGTAGGAAGCGCACGCACGCCGCCCTACCCGCACCACCATTGGCAGCTAGGGATGTCAATCACCGGGTCCTGGCCAGAGATTCCCGGCTGGCACCTGGCAATCGTCAGGGAAAGCTGACAGGGGCAGACCTGTGTGTAAACAACACAGGTCTCTCGCCTGCCAGCAAAGACATGCTGCTTTGTATTTCTCTGCACAGCAGAGAAACACAAAGCAGCATGTCTCCTAAGTAAAAACACACACAGCACACAGTTAACCCTTTCATCGCTTCAGATGTTAACCCTTCCTGCCCAGTGCCATAAGTACAGTGTCAGTGCTTTTTGTTAGCACTGATCACTGTATTAGTGTCATTGGGATGGGATGTCAGTGACAGTCAGTTCCCACCTAGTGTCAGAATGCCCTCCGCAGTCTCGCTATAAGTCGCTGATCGCCACAATTACTGGTATAAAAAAAAAGTAAATAAAAATTCCAGTATATATACCACCATTTGTAGACACTTTCACATAAACCAATTAATTTACATGTATTGGGATTTTTTCTTTAGCAAAGATGGGTAGCAGAATACATTTTGGCCTAAATTTATGAAGAAATTTGATTTTTTAAATTTTTTTTACTGAATAAGTTTTATAGCAAAAAATCAAAAACTTTTTTTTTTTCAAAATTGTCATTTTTTTTGTGTATAGCGCAAAAAATTAAAAAAGCACAGAGGTGATCAAGTACCACCAAAATAAAGCTCCATTTGTGGAAGAAAAAGGACATATATTTCATTTATGTACAATGTTGCATGACACCGCAATTGTCAGTTTAAGTAATGCAGTGCCGTATCGCAAAAAATGGCCTGGTCAGGAA